ATTTGAAGGACAACTCCAGCTAAAATGTTATATGTAGTATTGAATGCAGCGAGGAAGGGTCAGATCTTTTGTCATTGTTCATCTTTTCCTCCATTGGAGAAATTCTCTGCACTTTTCACTAGTGATGAGCGAACTGGCCTGGGTTTCCTTTGCTTGCACATTCATTAACCCAGCCAGAAATCCAGGTTTGGTGAACATCCACGCGAACTGAATCTTGGGCAGTCTGTGTCTTAGCAACCAATGACACTGTGCAACCTGCAGAGCACCATTGGTAGCTAGGATACTAGAGGCTGGGCCACGCAGCCCCTTTAGTTGCTAGGATACTAGACACTAAGCAACACAGCACCATTAGTTGCTAGGATACTAAGGGTTGAGCCACACAGCACCATTGGTTGCCAGGATACTAGACACTGAGCCACACAGCGCCATTGGTTGCTAGAATACTATAGGCTGAGCCACACAGCACCATTGGTTGCTAGAATACTAGACACTGAGCCACACAGCACCATTGGTTGCTAGGATACTAGATGCTGGGACACACAGCACCATTGGTTGCTAGGATACTAGATGCTGGGACACACAGCACCATTGGTTGCTAGAATACTAGACACTGAGCCACACAGCACCATTGGTTGCTAGGATACTAGATGCTGGGACACACAGCACCATTGGTTGCTAGGATATTAGATGTTGGGTGATAAGGGAGCATGGAGACGGCTTCCCTGCTTATCAGGAAGCCGGGTGGCGAGTCCTTACAAGCCGCTTGGCTTTATTAATGGGACTTCCGTTATCGGTATTCGGCGAGTACCGAAAAAAAATATATGTACTTGTACTCGATACCGAAAAACTGGTATCGGTGCATCCCTAATTCTAACCCTTTGCCACTCCATCCAATATATATATATACCCAATCACTAAAATCTAGTATAATATTGATCATGTATATATAACTTCCAAAGTCATTTTACTTTGTATTAACATAATTCCTGGTGATCCTGCCATAAGGGTCCTTGATCAGGTACTTCCCGTTATAGGGTGACAATGCTCTGTCCCTGTCTCCCAATTGTTCTTCTTCCTTGTCACATTGTCACATGTGCTTCCATGGAGACTATTGGCTGTGCCAAAGCTCACCGTGCAGGCATGTTCTGCTGTTGTCATCTTAAGGAAACACACCCTAAGATATGCAGCCACCCTAAGATATGCCAAGGGCTAGAACAGGGACAACCTTGGAACTCCAACTGTTCTACAACAACTGGAATGACGAGGTTGCCTACTCCTGAGCTAGAGCATCAGTCAGGTGTTATAACTAGGGATGCACAGATACAGATAATAATATCGATATCAGTGCCGATACCAAGTATTTGGGCGAATAGTCGTATTCGCCCAAATGCTCCGATTCCTAGCCTGATACCAGAACTTCCAGTATCAGGAAGTCGGGCAGTGAGTCATTACATGCTGCCTGGCTTTCTGATTGGCTGGGAAGCCAGCTCCATGCTCCCTCTTCATGAGGGAGCATGGAGCCGGCTTACCGGCCAATCAAGAAGCCGGGTAGAGTATAATGACCTTCCGCCTACCTTCCTGATTGGTTGGGAAGCTGGGCAATCAGGAAGGCGGATGCCGAGTCATTACCCACCCCCTGGCTTCCTGATTGGCCAGAAAGCCGGCTCCATGCTTCCTCATCACCTGATGACAAGGGACCATGAAGACGGCTTCTCTGCTAATCGGGAAGCTGGATGGCAAGCCTTTATACACCGCTCGGCTTCCCGGCTAAGCAGGAAGCTAGGTGGCGAGTCATTACACACCGCCTGGCTTCCTTAATGGGATTCCGGTATCAGTATTCGGTATCAGTGAGTACCAAAAAAAAAATGTCGGTACTCGTACTTGATACCAAAAAACCGGTATTGGTGCATCCCTAATTATAACGGTACTTTTCCCTTCACTTCCTGTGTTTGTGATAGAGGGTCAGGGGGACAACCGGCCCATTCACAGCATCTTAGGAATGAGTCATACAGTGTACACAAAAAATCACCGGGGAAGAGAGGAAGAGGTTTTTTTGGCAGATGAGACTTTGCATGTCTCTTCTGCCAGAAATCCTGACCTCCCAGTGATTTTTTATTTTATTGACTTTAATTTAGCTTTATGTTAGGGTTTACATCACACATGTCAAACGTGCACAAAAGTGCGCACTTTGATGTGTGTTCATGAAACGTGCACAAACGCACTTGCGGTGCCATTACTAGTCACTGATACCCCTAACATGGCTGAGCAAACACGTTTTTCTCCTGTGTGTATGCACGTGTAAGAACGTGCGTGAAACATGCAGGGAAAAAATGTGGAACATGTTGCAAAATTTATGACATGTACTACTTTCCTGCACGCGTCACGGGGACCCATTGAAATCAATGAGGACTTGGCCAAAAACGGGAAACAAATGCCGGGAATGCGCAGTAACACAGGTCACTGCTATGCTATGATATGAATGGGGGCTAATGTGACCCTGTCAGCACACGGTCCCAAGTAAGCAAAGCCCACGCTGTAAAAGAATATGTGAGGCGCTTAGTGTGGGGAACAGGGATTTGAAGCAGAACTCCGGGTGAATTAATCTTAATTCTTGCAGTGGGGTTGCCCCTGCACTGCAAGGGTTAAGTGCTCAGTTTGGTTTAGGGAGGAAAATAATAAAGTTATACTCACCCAATCCTCAGAGCTAGCCAGCTGTGACAGCGCTCCCTCCTGCCTGTCTCCTCCTCTGTACCAGCAATGCTATGTCCCTCTGCGTCCTCTTGTCCTATACACTGTGTATTGAACGTGATGACTAATTTTTGCCTAGAGTACTGGGAAAAAGGACTTTTACCTAATCCCTCACTCCCTAACGCTATGTGACCTCCCCCTGAAGCCTCTTCTCTATGGTGCTCCTGGCCAGCAGTCACATACTGACATCATCAAGTACAATGCAGAGCCAATACTCCTGCATTGTACATGAGGACGCCAAGGGCCCACCCACAACTCAGTAAGTCGGGGGGAAGAGGACAGCACCACCTGTTGATGGAATGTGGAATTAGATAAGAAAAATCCCTTATTCCTTGCGCCCTGGGATGCCCAACTGCAAAAGTATTTTTCTTTTTCTATTTCCCAGAGTTTTAGTTACCTTCGTACTATTCAACCTGCCCCTGTAGCCTCTTATTCAAGGTGATCCCAGCCAGTGGTCTGATTCTGACATCATCTAGTATAATGCAGGGCCAATAGCCAACTCGGAGCATCACGGAGAAAAAAATGGCTGCTGGGGCAACAAGGAATAAGGTAAGTAAAGGTCCTTTTTCTTTGTATTTTAGGCACAAATTAGCATTTTACCCTTGCAGCACAGGGGGAGCTCCACTGCAAGGGTGTTTTTTTCTATTCCCCAAAGTTTCAGCTCCCTCCACACTATGTAACCAGTCCCTGAAGTCTCTTTTCTGAGGCAATCCTGGCCGGCAGTCTCATTCTGACATCACCTAGTATAATGGAGGGCCCATAGCACTGCATTGTACGTGAGGACACCAAGGGCCTATCCACAACTCGGAGCGTCAGGAAGAAAAGCAGAGCACTGGCTGCCGGGGGTAAGTTACGAAAAATGCCTTTTTCCTTGCATCCTAGGCAGAAATGAGCATTAAACCCTTGCAGTGCAGGGAAAAGCTCACTAATGGAGTATCTTTTTCTTTTCCCCAGAGTTTCAGCTCCCTCCATGCTATGTGACCAGCCGCCGAAGCCTCTTCTCTAAGGCGATCCCAGACCGGCAGTCTCATTCTGACATCATCTAGTATAATAGAGGGTGATTAGCCCTGCATTGTACGTTAGGACGCCAAGGGCCCATCCACAACTGGGAGCGTCAGGAAGAAAAGGAAAGTGCCGGCTGCCGGGGATAAGGTAAGTAAAATTCCTTCTTCCTTGCATCCTAGGCAAAAATTAGCATTTAACCCTTGCAGTGCAGGGTAAACCCCACTACAGTAGTATCCTTTCTTTTCCCCAGAGTTTCAGCTCCCTTCACTCTATGCGACCAGCCGCCGAAGCCTCTTCTCTAAGGCGATCCCAGGCCGGCTGTCTCATTCTGACATCATCTAGTATAATGCAGGGTGAATAGCCCTGCATTGTACAAAGACTCCATGGACCCACCTGCAACTCAGAACGTCAGGAAGAAAAGGAGAGCTCCGGCTGCCGGGGGGAGCAAGGAAAAGGGTAAGTAAGAGTCATTTTTCCTTGCATACTAGGCAAAAACAACCATTTCATTCTTGCAGTGTGTGGGGAACCCCCCTTCAATGTTATTTTTTTTCAGCTCTAAGGACTCCAAGGACCCAACCGCAACTCGGAACGTCGTGAAGAAAAGGAGAGCTCTGGCTGCCGGGGGGAGACCAGGAAAAGGTAAGTAAAAGTCCTTTTTCCTTGCACTTAGGCAAAAACAAGCATTTAATTCTTGCAGTGTGGGGGGAACCCCCTCCAAGGGTAATATGTTTTTAGCTCTAAAAATATTGCAATGCCACATTATAGCTTCAATGCGATTTTAGTGACAGGGCTTCATGTAGACCGTAGATGTCACCTAGCCATCCCCAATTATGTCATTTTTCCAGGTCCTTTTGCAGGTGGATTAAGCTCCAGCCTGAGAGAGCCCACCCAGATAAGATCTGTGTCACAGAGCAGCAGGAGGAAATGCGCTGCAATGTTCTCTAATGAGAAAATTGCTGAAACTTTTCACATTCCAGCAGCAGCAGCAGCTCAGGTGATGGAGGGGAAGAGGACGATACGCTTTGCTTAAGTTTTCCATTGAGGAGGAACACACACAGGGTGCTTCTCCTCTTAGCCACATGCAGTGCTAGTTAGAGGCTACTGTCTTGACACATTCTTTTTATGACAGTTTGTAAAGGGCTTTTCCCTCCCTGCTCATTTCTTATCTGCTGCTTCCCCTCCTACTGGAAAAGTGGCTTTTTGCTCCTCCTCTGATTTCCTCCCCATTCAGCAATCAGTCAGGGAGAGTGGATGTGAGCATTGACTGGGCTCAAGCTGAAGCAGCAGCAGCATCACCATCCTCCCTGGGACTGTAGGAGAGAGGACCCCCCTCCCACCTCTCTTGTCCCCTCTCTTGTCTCTGCTCTCCCCTCCATCCCCTCTCCCCCACCTCTCTCTGCATTCTCATCCCTGCCACCCTCCCACCTCTCACTGTCCCTCTTGTCTCTTCTCCAGTCCCTCTACTTGCTCTTCTCCCCTCTCTCTCTTCTTCTCCATCCGGGCATCACATCATCTGACTCTCAGTCGCAAGACATCGATCGCCTCTTCTATGAGACAAACCAATTGATCTGTCACTGGTGTACCTGGACCAAGTACAGTCAGCATGTCCCGAAGGAAACAGAGCAAACCCAGGCAAATCAAACGTGAGTGCCACGCTCTCTATATATACTGTATATATATGTGTGTGTTTGTGTGTGTGATGTACTGTCAACCAGCCAGGGTGAAGTTCTGTACGAATTGCAGACTTGCACTCAACTATTCAGATGCCCTTAGGCACATTGAGAAGGAATATGCTGTGTGCTTGCTAGCTGTCTCTTGTTTTCCTGGGACAGTTGCTGCATTTGTCCCTGGAAACATCCCAGATTTTCAGCATGGATGAACTTCTTGATTAAAAAAAAAACAAAAAAATGTTGTTTCTTTTTGTAAGATTTTTACATTCGGAACTTAGTATCCAATCATATCTTATTTTAATTGTAGACCAAAGTGATACAGTAATTATATTTTTCTAATCATATTTAGCAAATATGTCATGATGGGATTATGATTGAGTGTTGCTGCAAGCTGCTGGTTTGAATAACTAGGCTCGGAAATTAAGTATCCCTGGAAATGAGAACATTTGAGGAACTGTGCAGAGGTTAGCTCGCCCGAGTTCCCAGGAGCCGTCCTGGCATTTTTGTTAGAGTTTGTCCCTGGAAATTTCACAATAAATATCTGCTGATTTGGGGGTTGCTGGGATCGGATCATACTATTTTATAGATGTAAACTTTGATTTCCAGTATCAGGAGTTTTCTCTGGTTTTATAATTCCTGCAGAATTTTTGTTTATGAGTTGGAAAAGTGACTTTTTACAGATTTTTGAAAAAATTACAATTATTTAGATCATTTTTGTTAAAAGTTTTATTACTAAATAGGGAAGAGTTTAAAAGAGGGACATTTATCATGTGAAATATGTAGAACATTTTATAGAATTTTAGAAAATGATTTAGCGTGCCGCTTCCCTCCAAGACAGCAAGCTTAAGGAGCAAAGTGTCCCTGGAAAGGATTTAAAAATGTTGGCACCTATGCTGCTAGAACAGTGTTCATACTGCCCAGGCACCATCAGTCTCTATCTGCCTGATTAGGACTCTTGAGCTGTCAGCTGGAGAGGCCAATGGATGAGGTCACTCACATTGCAATTGATGGACTTGCATCTGTGCAGACCTTTAACTCCAGGCAGTATTTGTAGTCCATGGCCTGACTTTTATACACTCCCAGTCCCCAGTGTATACAGATGTCCTCTTTGACATAACTTTACCCAAGTTCATTAACTGGGTTCCAATGTTCATGTTAATCGGCGTTGTTTTTTGGGGTGTGCCAATTTTACGCTTTCTTCATCGAGAAAAATTGGGCACAAAATGGGACTAACGCCTATTTTAATGCCAAGTCCTTTTCTTTTACTTTTTAGGACTTTTTATGTAGGCGCACTACGCTCATAATGCATATTAAAAGTCAATTTATTTATGTATGACTTTATCTATCAATTAGGCAAGACTTTTCCCAACTTGAGTATGATCAATTTTACTTTCTTTTTCCATCTTTCTTTCTTTCTTTCTTTCTTTCTTTCTTTCTTTCTTTCTTTCTTTCTTTCTTTCTTTCTTTCCTTCTTTCCTTCTTTCCTTCTCTCTTTCTCTCTTTTTTTTTTCTTTCTTTCAACCTATGAAACCTTACTGCATTAATTAATTAGCTACAGTTCCCATGACCGTAGCTGCATCTTCATCACTAAACACTTGCTTCCAAGTAATCCTCATGTCACCCCACTGAGCTGCTTCATAGCATTTTCCTATTGATTTTTCTTTGCTCTAATTGCACTGGTATAGCTAATTTGCAATGACTTTTATGGACTCTCTAAAACACTTATTTAAGTAATATCCATCTTACAGCCCTGTACTGCATGTAATTGTAAATTGTAATCATTTTTTTTTCAGTTCTGCCTTTTAAGCCATTACAATTTCTGCTCTTTTTATTTTTTATTTAAGCCAATTTATATTTAATACGCAAATGTTACAAAGCAAGTTTGTCTAATTGTGCATATGTTGCTATTGTCTTGCGTTGTCTCAACATTTTGTATGCTGATAAGAACTTTGTAAATATGTCCTGCTCTGCTCAGTGTTGTTTTTCTGTCTGCCTTATTTCATTGTTTGTACTTTTTTTTTTGGTGTGTGTGTATTGCCTGTGTATTGTGAATGTGCCATTTCATTGTAAAGGCTGGCAAATGGATTGTTAATAACTATTAACATTAATTGCTCAGTGGAACGCTGAGCAGTTGATTGGCCTTTTATCAAATGTGTTGTGTTGTGTTTATATTTTGGTTTATTCTTTCAATGATCAGAGACAACAGTGTATTTACAAATATATATATATATATATATATATATATATGAGAGAGACTTATGTCAAAATCTGGCATTGTTGATTCGATAAGGTTGATGGCATTAGTTACACAGTATCGCACGCTGATAATTAAGAAAGCATTACTGATCAGCAATGTGACATCCATGCTTAAGTGTAACATGTTTTATGTAATCACTTACGTCCTCCTTCTTTTATTCTATATACAGTGTAGGCTGGCATTTAATGTAGTAAACGGGTCATCTAATATGTAATAGAGATACAGTATGTGTGGTGTGCATTAGGTTCTATTTCTTGCTTATGTTGTGAGTCCAACATTGCAACTGCATGGAGAAAAGTATACTACAGAGGCCTAAGTAACCATTGCAAGTTTTACAAGGCTTGAGGGACGGGACAGCTTTGCAAAAGCTGCAGTGTGTGTATTTATACATATGTGCAATGACACTACCATGTCATATGCTGCATGAAGTGGCTATTTGTATGTGTGATGGGTTGAAAGGG